TCGCCACCGTAGCCAGGAATAGCGGGGCCGCCGGGGGACTGGGGGCCGTCTGTTTGTGTATTTATTCATTGGGGGTATTTGCCATAGTTGCCACGCTTGGCGAGCGGGTTGGCAACCGCAGTTTTTTATTACGTCACAGTTGTCATCAGGAAGACGCTGCTGCCCATCTCCTGCCTGTCTCCCTCTGTCGCCTATTACGACACCCACGGGAAGATATGGGGTAGTGGATATTCTTAACCGCCACAACACGGTCTCTTATTCACTTCGAAATAATTACAACATCGCGTTTTAGTAATATAGGAACTAGCGTACAACGCCATCAACCACCTTCAACGCGACACAACTGTCATAATACAAAAATTCTACGTACACGAACAACACAATAGACTTATGTACTTATATTCTTATTTTGTTTTAATCTTGATCCCATTTGAAGTTAAAGCTTAGATAACTTTCATTTCAAACATAATATTGCGGCTGCTAAGTTGTTACATTATTTAATTAGCCTATTACCACCCATTACTACCTATATCATTATTGTTTATAATCAGATTAAGTATTGGGTATTCTATTTTAATTTAATGCAAGGAATTGAATAAACAATCAATACATTTTTGATGCTTTTCATCAAACCAAAAAGAAAAGGTAGACGGAGGAGCGATGTTTACATTTCAAGTTCAAGTGACACAAAAACAAAGACTACATGCTCAACTTCTTGACACGCACTCGCTCGCCGTAGAAGTTTACTATTGGATGCACCACATGTAATTATACACCTAAAACCATATTGTTGGTTGCATATGATTTTTAGATTCACATTATATGCGTGTATGCATGTATGTATGTATGTGAGCGCGTGTTCTTACAATAAGTTAAGTAGGTATGGTTTAGACTTTAGACCTTTGGTTTTTGCATCATTTGAAATGTACGCAGCACTCCATCTTCATTTCTTTGTTGGCCGAGTTATATTTCGAACATAATAAAAATAATAATACGGTTGCTAAATACAATTTTAAATTACTTAATTAAGCACGTTTATCTTCTTTTTTTATTCAGTTTAGTATTAGGTATTCATTTTCAACGGAAAGCGTCGAAGAAATAATCAAAAACTTATGTTTTGTTTTGTTTATGAAGTAGACTGTACTGTTCATACTTTTTAATAGCCGTTACTCGGGCACTGCGGCGTGTTGCTGCCGCAGATGAAATAGTTGTGGAAACTAAAAAAATCGTCTTTAGTATAGTTAGTATAGTTGTAGAAATTTGGAAGAGTGATTTATGTACATATATTGTTGACTCAGGAATGCCAATACAATCATTAAAATTGAATGATCTATAACTTTCAAATAAATTGTCGGTACGATATGCGCGCCATCTAGAGCAAGTTAATTGTACTATGCCTACAACCTTCGCGCAAGTGCAAACAATAAGTTGACTAAGTATTACCTCAATCTGATGAACGGTGTGGCAGCGTATAAAATACGGATAAACAAACATTAATTTTTATATATTAGATATACATTTTCCTGCATTTATATATTCTCACAGAATAAATAATATAGTTGGTATTTTAATCAACTGCATGTGACACCTACCTATTTATTACCTAAATGTTCCAGAAGTAAACGACGGAACTACCTTTTCTTAAACGTTTACCAGCATAGTGTTTGACCACATCATATTATGTCGGTTATCGATAATAAGAGCGTGGATCGATAATAAGGGAATGCACGAGGGAAACGTTTACTCCCCAGTGTTACAGCTGACATAATATTTATAAGATATTATATTACGACTTACCCGGATATTGTGTACTTATTTACTTACTTATAGACAAAATTAATAATATCTAAATATAAACGAATATAACAGAAATAGGCCTGAAAACTAAGGCAACCTTGGCATAAGTTAGATTTAAAAAAAATAGTGATACCATAGGTGGCGGCAAATTAATGCGAGTATTATTTCACTTTTTCAAATTGAATTGTGATGATGATTTGCTGTTTTAGCGATATAAAAGTGGATTCATTTATTTGGATTGTTAGTTTCGATAGGTTTAGGTACTAATAAAAAACAGAATCTGTACTGGAATTTTAAAATTTAATCGTAGTCGACTGTTGTTATCATAATTTTCTGAAATTACAGTTAAAGGTTCTGATAATAGGGGTAATAGAATACACCTAGTTATTACGAATCGATGGCTGCGTTTGGCAGAAAAAAGCGCTAGCAAGCGCTTGTAAGCAAAATGGTGAAACTAAACAGTTTTCGGCCAGGACACGTTTGCTAACTTCAGTAGCGCTGACACAATCCGCCATTTTGCTTATTTAATTTGTTTGTTTTGAAGTAGACTTTATAGTTGTTTTGTGCAATATTAGTATCACGTAATATAATGACATGAATTAACATATTAAACATGTTATCAAAATTCATGATTGGTAAGTTTTTAATATGAATACTTTACAAACATATATTTATTAGGTTAGGTTCCCCGGTTAAAGCTAACTTCGTGTCCTAGAGGAAAATAGCTACTTACGATTTGACAGCGCTTACCACTTACGATCGCCATTTTGCTTACAAGCGCTTGCTAGCGCTTTTTTCTGCCAAACGCAGACGATGTGAATTTCGGTCTTTTCTCTACACTGTTTGCCACAACTTTTTCTGCCACCAGGGTGGCGTTGCTTAAAAATGAGGGGTAAATATTTGACAGATTAGGTACACAGCGGGGAAGTTAATATGTTCGAAAAATATAAATATTTATGTTTCTTTCTGTATCTTTATGTTTTATATTAAATAGACTTAGATTGAAAATAAATTAGTCAAATCACAGATATTCATACAAAAAGAAAACATAAAAGAAAAAAAATTAAAATGTGCAAAAAAATTAAAGAGCAAACCACTGGGGCTTTGTTTAGTGTATTAATCTCTAGAAATTTTATTTAAAACTAACTTCTCAATTAAATAACATTGTGTAAACAAAAAACTAGCGACATCTGATGAGTGGAAGATTATAGCCCTAATTGATTACATATTACATCATGACAATGACGATGACATCCGATTACTACTATACCTCAACCTCATAGTCAATAGTAATTTCATTACTAGTAAGGTAGGTGGTGGTGCTGGTGATACATTTCGACAAGAGAAAACTCAAACTGTGAACTCAACGCTAGCAAAATAGAGCAAACGACGACTTGACTGGACATACTCAGTTTTATGGTTTCCTGATTGAGTACTTCTATTGACCTTTTTGAACCTAATTAGGTTCGGTTTCATGTTTCTTATATGTGGGGTCCGTACCGTACTAGACAACAGACACTCGCCTGCCTTGTACTCTTGTACTAGTATTTGCTTGAAGTCCGACTCCCGAGTCCCGACTAGTCTCGAGTCTCGAGCATTGACAGACAAGGATAGCAAGACTGCGGAATAGTGTTGTTAAAAAAGGACAGAATATATTATTACACAACACCAGAGCGCGCCACATTACTTTTATGTGCATTGAAATTTGGTTCAAATTCAAATGAATGACAAACCAAAGAAGGCAAAGACGACCCGAGTTAGCGCCTAGTACCTACCTAACTACATTCTACTAGGCACAGTGAGACTATTAAAGATAGATCGAGTATTTTAAAAGTTGGAATAGGTGCAACCTAGCCTCGTTAAATACTTAGTCCCTGGATCTTTTCTAGTACATACGCTTTATCTCTAGTACATCGGATATTCCCGATATTTTGACTCTTTTGATCTTGAGGTTTTGAGCACTTCACAGCACCTATGGTCAGGGTAGGGAACGTTAATATACGCAATAAAATCCGTAAAACCCAGTTTTATTTAAATCATTACTAGCTTGTTTTTACAAACATACAAAATGAAAAAGTAACATAACATAGGTATGCGTCCTTAGGAACACATCATGTATCTTAAATTAAACGACATCAAACTGACATTTCTCCTAGGTGTTAACAATCGTACAATAATTAAATGTTAAAATTAACTGTGGAACACGACACCATTCAACATGACGCGCTACGCGAGTCTTATCTAATGTTAGACAAATAATATAGCGCAGTACGCAGCAGCCATTAAAAATGACCAGAGAAAACCAAGCTCCCAGTTTCTTAACGTATCGCAAGTCGTTTATTATAATTTGCATTAATTTTCATGCACTTTCTATAATCTGTACTAGATTTATTAAGTCCAAATATATATCTATAGCCGTAAAGTGGCGGTGTAAGTAATTCGAAAGAGCATCAAGTAAGTCTCAATTTAACAAAGAGATTATAATTTGAGTGTGAGATACTCCACTGCCCCAAGTGGGTGGGTGTCGTGAGAGGCGATAGTGAGAAATGAAACAGGAGGTGGCCAATAGCACTGCCAACCCGCCCGCCAAGCGTACCAACTATAATAAATATTCTGCCCGGAAGCCTATGTTCAGAGATAGACTTATTGTAAGCTGTAGTAAATGAAAAAATATAAAGGAAAATATATATTATGGAAACTTATATTCATTATTTTTAAATTAAGTTATAGTAATGTGGAAGAAAGGTTCTCGAGTGGCAGCCTCGTTAGGCGAAGTACAGTGTGATTCGCCACTAGATGGAGTGACGTGGCATTCCTTATGGGGAGGCCTATGTTCAGCAGTACACATGTGAAGGGCTGTAATGATGATGATGATGGTGATGTGGTGAAAATAACGCATATCACTCTAATTACTCGCAAATTTCTTCGGTTTTATTTAGATTTTTTCATGGGTCTTATAGGATATACTTAAGTATAATTTTAAACGGCTAACTGATTAATGATATTTGTAGTATTATCATATTTTTCTTTTTAATTATTCCTGCTTCACATCCTGGTTCTAGTAACATTAATAGTTAATAAAGTTATTTACTTATGAAATTACTAAGTACTTAGTTTAGTTGGCATTTCGCAAGATAAATAGGCCAAATATATAAAATAAGAATTTTCCTTTATTATAAATCCTCTTTGTTTCTTCGTTTCAGATCACAGAATCTCTGAAGCGTCTCCGCGCCAGTAAGAAATCTTCTCGATTCACTGAGGACATCGATTTTGAGAACAGCGTCTCAAATTTCGAAAATCGTATGCGAATTTCTGATAAAATATTAGAATCTGTGGGAATAGGTCAATCTGAAGTAAGTGGAGCTAGACGAGCCCTGCAAGAGAATGAAGAACGCACAGAGAAACGCATTGCACGCAGGCTAAACGAAGATAATTCACTTACCAAGTGGACTGCCTTAAAAAATTTCGACGATGAAACAGCTGCTGCTCAGCGAGCAAAGGCAACAAGAGCTCGTTTGTCCGACTTAGAAGATGAAATGACTGAACTCTCTGAAAAAAGTGCTGCCAGAGAGAAACGCGCCGCACGTCTACGTGCTTTAGTAGCCGACACCGATTCATCAGACACTACGATGGCGTCCTCAAAAATTACCATTCGTTCAGAGAGGGAGAAGAAACAAGTCACTTTTTAAATATGAAAAGCAAAAATATTCTTAAAACGAATCAACAATCTGCTCTAAAAACGGTTTAAACAGCGCCACGGATGGAATATTTTGGAGATAGATGAGTTTTTCTAGAATGTGTGATCCTGCATTTGCCATTATACTATGGTTGAGTTGATGTCTATTTTATATTTATTGCATAGAATAAATTGCTAAGTATTACCAATGTTTCATTGTTTTCTTCTCCATGGTTGTAGCACGAATGGGTCTGCTCGACTGGGGAAAGACCACGCTCTCACAGAACACCAGCGAACAGCAGTACTAAATATTGCTGTGTTTCGTGTAGTGAGTGTAGATATCCGGAGACCCTTTTTTATTGGAAACGAGGCATTCCATCTTAGTCCTCAGGGGTGACAACGCATCTGCGTTTTGATTCTTAATAGAAGATAAATGTAGTATAAATGTGACCTATGGGCCACAGCATCTACCCACCATCAGGTGGACTGTGTGTTCGTTTGTCACCCTTATTCTAAAAAAAATATTAAAGTGGTGTAAACAGTTCATATCGTCCATAATATTTCCTTATTTAGTAGCCTGTAAAAGTAAGAATATGCTGGTAATGAACTGTGAATTGACTAGCAGTCTTGTATTTTTGATGCCGCTGCCCGTCGGCTGTCTGGATATTTTACTTCTGGTGCAACTGCATCTTTCGGAAGCGTTTATGAAAATTTTTCATAGGCGCCTTTTTCAACGCCCACGTGATGAAATGAGATGATGCATGATGATGATGATGATGCGCTGCTAATACATGATCCGGGGATCTATGATATATATTCTAAAATTAATTCAAAATATTCAATCAGTTTTAAATCTTTTCGTCTAAATTTTTGTAGGTTAACAAATTCTCCTATGAAGGCATTTCACATAAATAAATTACACATGGACAAACATTCAGATTTAGATATTTGATATGAGCTAGATTCAGACCCGAGGTAACGAATCTATATTTACTGACGTACCTGCATAACGTGCAAAGAAGTCAAGGAACAGTGGTTCGCGAACCAAGCTGACAATGATGAAATAAAATAATTAAAAAAAACAGTAATTTAATATTATTTCAACAGGAAATGTAAAAAATGACATCATTAGTGTGATAGCGGCGTAAAAGAATCACCTCAATTCGTCTTCGGGACGTTACAAGATGCGCCTATTGGTTTAGTTACGACCTAAAGTTCTAATGATTTCCGATAGATGGGACTATAACCTAAGTAACACACAAGCCTTATGTGAATGATTTAGTACATTATAATATACATAGTAAAAGAATATACGAATAAGATGTAATAGCCTTAGAAATAGCAAAATTATGTTTTAAATTGTTTCAGGATTTATAATTGTCATGGCTTGGTAAAATTTGTTTTTAAGTGATTTGTACTCTTAGAATTAGAATTTGAAATTGTAAAAATGTTTTTAAAACTAAAACTATGCCCTATGTTCTGACTTTTAGGAAGCTGTAATCATTATTACAACGAAATTGTTAATTTTGATTTTTTAAAACTAAAACTATGCCCTATGTTCAGACTTTTAAGAAGCTGTAATCATTTTTACAACATTTTGTTGTTATATACTATTTTATACAGACGTTGCTAAGCTGAAAGTATTTCAAGCAAATAAGTGCTACAAAAAGTGTTCTCTGCTGCATTATTCTGTATATATCTGTAATATTTGACGCTGAATAATCAGTTTAATTATGTCTCTAAACCACGTAAGGTTATGTATTTCATCAGTTAATCAGATGCTGCTTAAATAATATTTTCGGGGCTGGGCAAAACGGAAAGTTATACACTTCGTTTAAATTAAACTAACAAGGAATAAAGTGTAAATACATATACATTGCAATTGATTTTTGTGGCTACAAGTGAAAGTTACAAAAACACATTATATTTATTGAATTATAGACTTTAAGATAATTTTACGTTTCGTTGTATGTTGGTTTGGTATTTGCATACATATTATTCTTATAAAAAAAACTTGTTGAAATGCAAAAGGACAGTGGGACGAATGTACAGAAAATACTTGTAGAAATATGAAAAATTATATAGCAATCAAACAATTATTGCAAGAGAGATTTGTCAAAGCACTAGTCAATTTCGATAATACCCTGTTGAAGAAAGTTCCGTAGTTTACTCAAAATTCTATTATATAGTTTCAAACATGGCGGTTCCGCATCGAGTGATGATGAAATATAAATGGAATAGACTAAAACCAAAACCTAAATTTAACTTTAAATACAACAGCCTCAACTCGAACAACTTTACCTGTAAAGGTGGTATTATTGTAAGAAATATTTCTAGCGTTGCATTGCTAACCAACAAAAACAGTGAGATATTTCGTTGGTAAGGAGTGTGCAGAAAGATTTGTTTTATAATTTTCATAATATCCAAGATCAGGCCCGCCTTCTAGCTATTCGACTAAGGAATCTTGTCACTGGTAGCACGCTTTACCATTATGTAATCTCGGCACGTAACTTGATGGGGAAAGCTTACGTTTCGCCGTAGCAATAGATTTGTCAACGTCATGCTCGCTAACAGCGTCGACGAGACGGCTCCGCGGACTTCCATGTAAGAAAAATGCTGGTAGGTTTTCTCGTCACAGTCTCCTGAACGACGTTATCCGAAGAGCTCTAGTCTCTATAAATGTTCCCTCGGTTTTAGAGCCTTGTGAAATATTTAGTGATGATGACAAGAGACCCGACGGTATGACTTTGGTCCCTTGGGAGAGAAGTAAAGCTCTAGTGTGGAGTGCTTCTTGCGTAGACACTTTGGTAACCTTTCATCTTAGGAGTACCACATTTAGAGCCGGAGCAGCATCAGAGGCAGCTTAACTAGATAAGTGACGCAAATATGGGTCTCAGAGAGATGAGTATATATTTTTTAATCATCATTTTTTAATCATCATTTTTGCCATTTGTTGTAAAGACTATCGGTCCGTAGGGTTTACGTACGGAGAAGTTAGTAAAGGAACTGTTTGCGCAAAAATAAATCGTATTCCTGACTTTTAAAATATATTAAGTATTTACGTATTTTTAATTTAGCTCTCTATTAATTTAACAGGTACCTAATGTCACCCACAGGGAAAAAATGTTTACCAAAAATAAATCGAATAAATAAAGTATAAAATCGATATAGGCTGTAGTACATTTTGTCCTCTGTCTATCAAGACCTAAAAAATATGAAAGCGCCTTTAACTTTTAATAGCAATAAAATTTATAAAAGTTAAAAATTATTTTATTAACAAGCTACGCGTACTAGGCTATTGATATGAAAAAGGGTACCAGTTGATGTAATTCTGAAGCTAATAAAAAAACTCGGTCTCGATACGTCAATTTTTTGGGGAGTTATCGTGATCACAGACAAAATCAACATCCGGACGTCCAACCATTTTTTTTCGATTTTTTTTTTAGAAAATATATTTTCTTTTAATATATAAGTGCAATATAGTTATTCTAGAGGTATTTCAACCTAAAATTGCTTAACCTTGACGTGTCGAGTTTAAAGCACTACTTAATAATGTTTCGCATTATGAGACCTGCAACAGTTAAATGTGCTACTCTTAATTTTGTCAATAGATATATTTTAAAACTATCTGTGCCCCTGACTTCGTTCGCGTGGAATAGTAATTTTCTAATGGTGAGTGATTATAATGTCGCGAAAACCTAGAAAGATACTTATCTGGATAAAAACATTCAGCTAGTCAGTCAATTAGACAAACTAACGAACGAACAAATAGATGGGTCCACAAACGAACCAACGGATGGAGTCACAATCGAACCAAGAAATGAATTGGTCAAACTGTACGCTTGTATTTCAAATTGTAAGTAAATTACAAAATAACTTCAATAACGTAATCCACAAATTGGTCTCGAATTTATCTAGCCAACTGGTTCCCACACAACAGATAGGAGAATGCCCTAAATAAACTGGCTCTATCGTCACTTATTGGTACAAAGGTATGTGTCACCTTATGGTTATTATCAATAAAAAAATAAACGAAAACTACAATCGAATGCATTTAAATAAAATTAAGTACCAATCACACTAGCAAAAATGAATGAAATTATGAAACTGCCTATATTATGTCTACATCTGCAAATAAATGAAAAATAAATCTACACTAAATATAGGATAGGCCTTTCCTTTAAGATAAGTAATAGTAGGTGTGATCGAGCCCAAAATCAGATGGGGTTGCTATATCTCAATTAGACATACCGTCTCACATGCGATATTCAAATAACCTCCATAAGGGTTTGTTTGTTTGGTGCCAGTGACAAGTGTAAGGCCTAACCAATACTACGTACGTACTAGTGAGCCAGAAGTGGTACTACCTATCTACTGGTAGCTCACACTCACTTTCAAATAAAATGCCTGTGGCACACTTCATTTCCTCCATTTTCACATCAGCAAGAAGATTCTTCCTTCCTAAGTATTTGTTAGTTTTAGTAGTAATACCACTTTAGTAGTACTACCTATCTACTGCTACCGCCAAGTGAATAGAGGACGAATGTACTAAAAAATAAGCCTGACACAAGAAATGAAATTATTGTCGATGCATTATCACATGATATATTTTCGACCATATTTTCAAATTTGTACCATCGAGAAATCTAAAGTTGGATAAGTCTGAAAATTTTACTAAAGTACGTCCGCTTATGAACAAATTATCTAATGAATTTTAGAGACACTGTCCACACAAAGAAAACGCACATATATTGTTACCATACTTCGAACGAAATGGATGAAAACAATTCATACGTGGCAAGCCGACAAGATATAGCTTCAAACTTTAAGTGGGCGATCATGAGGCTATATAATTTGTTTTGAACTATACCGAGGTGTAAATACAAATCTAAATGCCAGATACGCAGATTTAGACTTTGGTGCCAGAGTGGTTCTCACATACACTGTTATAAACTTAGCCAGTTTGGTTTAGGAGAAAATTGTCATTTGTTTATAGACAATTTTTTTCTGGAC